AATTTAACACGAATTGAAATCACGTATTCGGGTTGGATGTCGAAACTCGGAAAGCAATTGGATGATCGTGGACTATTTATCCTCTCCGACCATTGTCCATATCTCACTGATCTAACCTTAAGCTATTGCACGTTTATCACCGATGTTGGACTTCGCCATTTAACGTCCTGCTACAAGCTTTCATCTCTGAAGCTGAACTTCACCCCAAGAATCACGGGATGTGGCATATTCTCAATCGCTGTTGGATGCAAAAACCTCACTGTTCTTCATCTTATCCGATGTTTGAATGTCAGCAGTGTCGAATGGCTTGAATACTTCGGAAAACTCGGAAAACTTGAGGATCTCTCGATCAGGAACTGTAGAGCAATTGGGGAAGGTGATCTGATTAAGCTAGGCCATAGCTGGCGAAAGTTGAAACAGCTGCAATTCGAAGTCGATGCTAACTACCGATACATGAAGGTTTACGATCGTTTAGCTGTGGACCGATGGCAAAAGCAGTGGATCCTTTGTGATGATATGTTGGAACTTAGCTTGGTGAACTGCATAATCAGTCCAGGGAGAGGACTTGCCTGTATATTGGGAAAGTGCAAGAACTTACAGAAAGTTCACTTAGATATGTGTGTTGGAGTTAGAGATTGTGATATAATAAGCTTGGCTCGAGAATCGCATAATCTCCGCTCGATTTCCCTCCGAGTTCCATCGGATTTTTCACTTCCATTGTTAGCCCACAACACGCTGAGATTAACAGACGAGAGCTTAAAAGCCTTAGCGGACAACTGCGCCCATCTCGAATCGGTTAGAATCTCATTTGCAGATGGTGAATTCCCCTCACTATCTTCATTTTCCCTCAATGGGATCCTAGTTCTTGTTCACAAGTGTCCAATCCAAGAGCTCGCCCTCGATCACGTCTACTCCTTCAACGACATGGGATTGGAAGCGCTCTGCTCGGCCTCCTATCTCGAAACTCTAGAGCTTGTAAGATGCCAAGAAATAAGCGACGAGGGGCTGCAGCTAGTGAGCCAGTTCCCTCAGCTGCAAAACTTACGACTAAGCAAATGCTTGGGAATCACCGACGATGGGTTGAAGCCGCTTGTCGATGCATACAAACTCGAGTCACTGGTCGTGGAAGACTGCCCTCAAATCTCCGAGAGGGGCGTCCATGGCGCCGCGAGAAGCATATCGTTCAGGCAAGACCTGTCATGGATGTATTGAAACTTGCTTAGTTTCCATGATTCAGTATTATAATAATGTTTGTAACATATAAGTTCCCATGTGTGTAATAAATCATGGCCTCATTCCTTTGTTTGAAACTGTCTGGTGATAGTGGTTTTAGTAGTAGTCCGACGTGGAATTGATGCTGACGTTGCTGCTGAGCTTGAACTCCACGTCACCTCATGTATCATGTGTCATTTTTTATCCCCTTCCAGCATCATGGTCCCAATGCATACAATACAACAAGACCTTTTTTTGGATTGAAACGTTATGTCGCACTTAAAATTCCCATTTGTTGACGAAAGTACCCCTAGATTAAAATATTAAATTATTTCTGTGTCACATCTTTCTTTCCGAAAATTTGAAATATTTATTTCCTATGTTTAAAGCTTATTTACTGATTTATTTTAATTTTAAAAATTTAAAATTATATATATATATATATATATATATCGACATGGCATGCTTTTACACGGGTATTACGGTGTGCCTGAGCCGTACTGGATTATTTCTCATCACAAATTGCAATTAATTAAACAATCAATATAATTAATACCAGAAAAAGGTCTTTAAATACACCACAAATTAAGCCAAGCAGTCAAACTATCTTTTCTCTTGACGCCACCATGACGCCGAGTGCTTCATCCTTTTTAAACCAACGGCCACGATTTTCCCTCGAGATCACCCCCAAACGTCGTCGTAACAATGCTATTATTATTTTTTCTCATAGAATTCAAATATTTGATTAACTTCTCATATATTTGTTTTACCAAAATATCTAGTTATTCTTAGGCCTACATATATATATATATATATATATATAGTAACAATATTTAGCTATATTAATTAAAACATTTAATCTTTAATCCTTAATATTTTTTCCTTTATAATTTAACCTCTTTTAAGTTTTATTTTTAAAAAAAATTACGATTTTTATTTAAGTTAATAAGTTAATTAATGATACTTAATGATTTGAAAAAAAAAAAGTCAAAATATTTATTGAGCTGTATAATTGCTCTTTTAAATTTCTGTCAATTTATTATTTGTTCTGCGTTTTTCAAGTTACAAACATTCGCAACAAGAAAATTATTGAAAAAATAATTAAAAAAAATCATTGTAATTTCCAACAAATGAAAAGGGTATTTACGTCATTTGAAGGGTATATGCCTCCTGCCAAACGAAAGGCAAGTATATAAATGCGAGAGATTGCGGTCTCATCGACATTGATAGGACTTTATAAAATTATTTTATTTTGGAATTATTTATTTATTTATTTATATTTTGTATTTATTTTACTTTATAAATGTTGTATTTTTACTTTCATTGGCTCAATGATTTTACACTTTTAACCTGGAATTTCCATAATTTTTATTAGTTTTCTAGTAATTAATTTTTTTTGTTACTATTAAAATTAATTAAAAAACATATCATAATAATTTTAAATAAATTAATTGAAATTTGATATAGAGGATGAAAGATGAAAATTGAGTAATGTGTAAAATCTAAAATTTTAGGAATTAAATGAAAACTAAATTTTAAGACAAAATAAAAAAATAATTTTGAAATTTAGATAATAAATATAAACCATATTTTAAATTTAAAACAATTTTTAAATTCATTAAATTATTTTACTTTCCAATATAAAAACCCCACCGATCCTTCTCTATGCGTCACCATCTTCTTCCGCCATGATTTCCGATCAGCCAATTGACTCTCTCTACAGAGCCTTCTTCCAAACCCAATTCTCCCAATCCCCACCGCCGGACTCCCAGCTCGACGGAATCGCCGCCGTCGTCGGCCGGAAAGTCCTCTTCGGCGACATTCCTCCCTCAACCAGCGGGTCAAAGGCGCCGGCCGTTACGGGGCAGAAGAGTTATAGAGGAGTACGAAAGCGGCCGTGGGGACGGTGGTCGGCAGAGATACGAGACCGAATCGGACGGTGCAGACACTGGCTGGGAACGTTCGACACAGCGGAAGAGGCGGCGCGTGCATACGACGCGGCGGCGAGGCGATTGAGAGGTTCAAAGGCGCGAACTAACTTCGAAATGCCGTTGGTAGTCCCGCTTGAGTCCACATCATCATCATCCACGTCATCAGTGGAAGGCAAAAGGAATGGTAATAATGGTAATAAGTTGAAGGCGGTGAAGAAACCAAGTGGGCGGAAATGTGCGGTGGTTACGACGGCGGCGCATTTGTTCAGCCGTGGAATGGAGCTGGATTTGAAACTGGGTGTTGACTTTGTTAATGGTGGTCAAAGCGCATCATAATTCAAAGCTTATTTTGTTCTTCGGAATGGGAACCCAAAAACAAATTTAGCTTGTTCCACTTTTGAATTCTGTGAATGTTTTGCGGAATTTAAGGTACAAATTGTTTCGTTTCTGTCTGTTTTGTGTTGGGTTTCTAATGCAGAAATGAAATTGGGTTTCTTTTTTATATATTTTTTTTATTTTTTTACCCTAAACCCTAATAAATTAGCATGAAATAATGATTAAGCCCTATTCCGTTGGTATCGAAGTAAGTTGGGAGTATTTGTATTTTATAGTCAAAGGTGAAATTATTGGATCTATAGAAAAAAGAATTTATTAACCAAGAACGAGAGTTGGACGGGCGAACCCACAACTTCGTTCCACATTTGGTAATATGGCTAATGTTAAGGGTATGACTTAAATTAAAGCGTTTACAATGTTACTTACTTATAGTAAAATTTGTCTCAAAATAAAAATGAAATCTTGAGTGAGCATAAGCAAACTTGAAAATTGAGAGAAAAAAAATGAAAATTAGGGTTTAGGGAAAGTGAAGGGGGGGAGTTCAGAAAGATCATATCGTGATGATTATGAGAAATAACATTTGAGATGACAGTTTTAGTCGCCATCGCCATCGCCATCGCCGTCGTGGATGTGCATGCCAAACCCTAATCCACACTTGCAGAAGAGAGAGAGAGACAGAATTAGGGTTTCTTTTTTTAAAAAGGCTCCCATGAATAGCGGGGTTAGAGAAGAACTTGGAACACGTACGGAGCTCCCTCATGTCCTTTTTCTTTTCTTTTCCCACTTTCACCTCATCCTTCCAATAGTGTTCCCTCTCTATCTCTATCTCATACCTATCTATCTACCCTTCTCACATTGCCTCACATATCACTTAGTGTCTAGCTCTTATATCATTTGTAATAGTCCAAGCCGGTCACTAACAGATATTGTTATTTTAAAACGAGTCTTATAGAAGATGCTTCGTTCACTTTTTCAATGGATGTGAGATCTTACACGTACCCTTTTAATTATAATTTAATTTTTAATTATATATATGAATGTGAAAAGAAAGGGATAAAAAGGGACAGCAGAATCCCTGCATGGATAACTAGGTTGATTTTCATCCCTCTAAGCAACCTAGAATTGACCGTTGATGTGATATTATTATTATTTTTTCTTATAAATTTATTTTTATAATATTTTGAAAATTCCATATTTTTCTTTTAATAAAATATTTATGCATTTCCCTCATCTAATAATTATTTGTCACATCAATTAAATTCTTTCCTTTGTCTTTTATCTCTTTCAAAAAATAAATAAATATATTATATTACAGAATTTATGAAGTTGAATAATTGAATCTAAGAGTAATGATTAATCTCTTTTTTTTTTTTTTAATATTTATTTATTTAATAAAATATATCATATTAGAAAATGGGCCGGGGTGTCTAACACAGGCCCAATTTAGCCCAATAGTATCGGCCCATGAACCATCTTTATTTTCTGTTGGGCTTTCATATAAATAAATTATCTCGAAAAAGAAAGCGCTCCCAATTTAGCTTCGAAATCGTTCTTCCAATTTGAAGAATTGAAGGAAGAGGCGAAAATGGAAGAGAATTTCTTATCGTTGCCGGAAGAATGGTAGGAACTGATCTTCAGTTTCCTTCTCCAACGCCATCACAGCCACCATTTTCGAATCCTTATCTCCGATCTGCAAGCAGTTCTTCTCCATCACTACCAAGCTTCGAACTGCCCTCTCAATCTCCGCTTTAAGCATTCCGGAACTTCGGTGAATATACGGATTTGATGCTTCAAGGAAATAGCAATTTGTGATTTCGATTTCGTTACTCAGATCAGGTATCGCCAAGGCACTACGCCACAGCCCTAATTTGAATTCAATTTCTGCAAATTGGTAGGGATTCCCTCTGTTCATTCGAATCTGATCGATTCGTTAGATTCTGCGAGTTCTCTTGATCTTTCGGAATCGATTATTTCTCATTGCCTTAACTTCTCGTTTTCTGGAATTTCATTGCTGTTGTGTCAAAATATTCAGACTGATGAATCTGTAAAGGAGTTATCAGAATTCATAAACCTCACAATTGCTCAAATCTGACCTGTTCTATAATTGATATAGAAATGAAGATTGTAAATCTCGCAACTGATTTTGTTAACCCTAAGCTTAGATCTACGGATTTATCTGGGGACGAGAAGTTGTGCATTTAGAAATTTGGAGGTGTTGAAGCTGAACAACTGTGCAGGAATCGCAGAAGAACGCATTGGAGAAGTTGTAAGGGCATGCACAAAGACGAAGCGCCTGGAAGTAAATTGTTGCACAGGAATCAAGAATTCGGTGATGAACTGTGAGCTTTCAGCAAAGATTGGACACTGAAGATTCAAGATTAGCAATGCTTGAAAGAAGATGCCCTTCTTTAAAGTGAGTGCAGAAAGGGGGGTAAAGGAAGTGGAGAGAAGCTGCAGAGAATTGAGGGAAATGAAGGCCACCTAATTCTCTTCTTCCCAATGCTAATCAAAGGAATCTTTGCTTGCCCCATGGATGTCTACTCTGGTATTTTATTTTATTTTATTTTATTTTTTTTAATAAAAAAAAGTTACAGATAAAGTTTGAAAGATTCAAAAGCTTTGAATATTTTAAATTTAAGATTAAATTAATAAAAATAGGTTTGGTATTTTGTCTAAAAAAATATTTTTAAATTACGTTTTTTTTAAAACAAGTTTTTAAAAAAAAATTAAAAAGAGTATTAATGAAAGTTTTGAATATTTTTGAAAATATTTTTAGAAGTTAAGAGGGTATTTTTTAAATCATTTTAAAATTTTAATGATATTAAAAAAAAAAATCAATTTTAAAAGTATTTTTTAGATTTTTTTTTTAAAAAAAGTTAATAGTGTAGAATAATTATTTTTATTAATTTAACCTAAAATTAATAAAGAATAAATTTATAGACCAAATGAAATCAAAACAAAATCCCTTTCAATAAATCTAAGAATCCTAAAATTTCCTTCTCATTACCATGAATTATTTACTCCGAGGGATTAAATGCAAAACCCAAAAGGAAAAAAGAAAACAAAACGAAAGTAACTATTATTGGCATTTATATTCAGGAGGGTAGAATAGTAAATAAGAAAATGTGGAGGGCAAGGGATGAATCACACGTGTGGAGTAGATAAACGGCACGTGTAAAAAAAGATTGAAGGTCACGCGCTTCAATAGTAACGAACTTATAAAACCCATACCACCCACCACATTTATGCCCTTTCGCCGCTCCTTTATATTCCCTTAAAAAATTATAATAACAGAAATATTAAGAAAAAAGCAAAATATTAGGAAAATACGTGGAGTAATTGCCACGTTTTCGTAAGGGGACCGTATGAGGTGGAAAAAAAAAAGAAAAAAGAAAAAAGAAAAAAGAAAAATTGTAGAGAGAGAAAGTAGGGAATTAAGAGAGTAGATGAGCAAGTAATGAACGTGACCATCCACTCCCAAATGACATGGCCCCATCTATATATACCTTCTTCATCCATTCCTCCCCTTTTCTCCTCCTTTCTATCTCTCTCTCTGCCTCTCTCTCCGCCATGTCCGACGACAAATGGGTCGATGTTGCTCTCTCCGACGACTCTCTTGTCGTCGACTTACTTCTTCGCCTCAACCGTTCTCCGCTGGTCAATCCTCTCTCACCCCCGCTCCGCCTCGATTGGTCCATCCGCCAGCCCCGCTCCAAGCCGATTCTACCTCGTCAGGCCTCCGATTCCGCCGGTAAAAACTCCGATGAAGCGGCTAGAGCCAGTCCGACTACGCCTCTCACTTGGAGTAGTGGCGGTGGCGCTACCTCCGTCAGTGGCGGATTCGTTGACGCCGTAAGATCTAAGGTTGGTTTCGGTTTCGGTTTTTGCTTTGGTGTTCTATTTTTTCTGAAAACTCGGTTAGTGCGTTTAAAAGACGAAAATGCCCCTCCGTGGAACACATTTCTTGTTCTTTTTCCGTCGGCGACTCTCAAATGTTTGCACCCTTTTCTTCAAACTTCTAATTATTCCTCTTTGTGAATTACGATTCTACCCTTCCCTTCCCTTTTTCCACCACCGGCGACTTTCCCGTCAAGATTTTCAAAATTACCGGAATACCCATTTCGACCAACAACGAAAACGGAAAACCCTTTTGCCCATTCATCCCAACGGTGACCTCTGAGGGAGTCCACAGCAATAGGTCAAAGAGTGGCATTTTGGTAATTTAAACAAAAAAAAAAAAAAAAAAAGGAGGAAGCAGTATGAAAAGAGTCAAACCCCTGTCTCCATTGGCCCAATAACTCCTATCTTGAACATAGTCAAACCCTAGACTCTACCCCAAGGGTCACTTTCGTCATTTCACCCCGAAGCCCAAAAAGGGCCCCTCTTTATCGGTGGCGTGTTTCCATGGCAACGATGTCTGTGTGTCAATGGTGTTGGTGGTTGTGCCCTTCGTTTATGAAAATCATTAAAAAAAAAAAAATTAAAAAAAAAATCCAGTGCGGTCAGTTTCACCATAGCTTTATACACTTGCTTCATCACTACACTTCTTGTTCCCAAATCTGACAAAAGTTTTATGTTTGTATGTTTTTTGTTAATGTTAAAAGAGAAAGTAGATTCGTTTGTATGGTCAAAAGATGTGTCGTGTTCTTTCCTATAACCATGAATTTTTGTGTCCGGACAATGGTACAACTAACACTGCCCCTTTTTGGTGAACTCCTTGTTTAATCATTACAAACTAATCCTTGTTTAACACTTGTTAATTGTTGATTAACTACTTAATGGGTTCTTCATCGTGTTGAATGGAGGAGAGACGTCCCCACTTGTGGAAAAAGTGTTCAACTTGTGAAATGGGGCATTTTTAATTCAGTGCCTTTCTTCATTTGGTTGGATTGGTGGTATTAGTGGCTATGATTGTTTAGTACTCACCTCGGGTTTCGGTTTGAATCCTTATCTCACGTATATGAACACTTGACCTCGACTCGAGTCCGGATCGAGATCCGTTTGTTCTTTATTTATGGTTTCTCTGTAATTGTTTAGTAGTGACCTCGGGTTTGGGTTTGAATCCTTATCTCACATATGAAAACTGACCTCAACCCGACCCGAGTCAGCACCAGGATCCATTTGTTCTTTGTTTATAGTTTTTTCTATCATTTGAGTTGATTGTTTAGTAGGGGTTGTTATGATACTTTTGTAACTTCACTACTAAAACCTCGGGTTTGGGTTTGAATCCTTATCTCACGTACGAAAACTTGACCTGGACCCGGGTCTGAATCCGGATCAAATTGTTGGTTATTTGACTAAGGGGATGAGTTTTGAATGTATATGTGCAGAATGCTGGTAAGAGTGAAGCAGTTGCAACAATGAAGAGGCCAAGAAAGAAAAAGGTATGGTTTTTTTGACCCTTTGCTTTGCCTTCTTTTGGTTAGTGTATTAGATTCTGATATCATTTCCTTTTTGGACAATCATGATGGGTATCCATGGTGGTTGGCAGACACTAGGAGAACTCAAAGAGGAGGAGGTTTTGCTATTGAAGGAAAGGAGAAGCTTGAAAGATGTATGTTTTTTTCTGTAAGAATAATATGATAATGGTCGTTTTCTAGCGTCGGTCTCGGTCGAGCTCTTGATAAGCTTTTCCTTTTATAAGAGCAGGCCTTGGCGATCTTGCGGCTCACTGTAGAAGAACAGAGGTCTATCAATGGAAGCTTGAAGAAAATGAAGGTGAAGAACTTCCACTGTTATTTCTCTTTGACTGGAAAGCTGCTGCTTTTTCTTTCTTGCTTTAGCCCTTTTTCTTATGTCCTTTTTGCTGAGGTTTGCATATGTAACTATGATCTGTCCAAGCCCACCGCTAGTAGATATTGTTCGGACTTTCCCTTTCGGGATTTCCTGTAAGGTTTTTTAACCGTGTCTGCTACGGAGAGGTTTCCACACCCTTATAAAGAATTCTTTGTTCTCATCCCCAATCGATGTAGGATCTTGCAATCCACTCCCCTTCGGGACCCAGCGTCCTCACTGATACTCACTCCCTTCTCCAACTGATGTGGGACCCCCCAAATTCACCCCCTTTTCAGACCCAGCGTCCTTGCTGACACACTGCCTCGTGTCTACCCTTCTTTGGGGCTCAGCTTCTTCGCTGGCACATCGTCTAGTATCTAGCTCTAATACCATTTGCAATAGTCAAAGCCCACTGATAGCAGATATTGTCCTCTTTGGACTTTCTCTTTCGGACTTCCCCTCAAGATTTTTAAAACACATCTGCTAGGGAGAGGCTTCCACACCGTTATAAGAAATTCTTTATTCTCCTCCCGGACGCGGGAATCAAATGGGTTGTTTATGAACTGATTCTTTTCAAAATAGTTCCAAAAGTAGTGCTTTATTAATTAGGTAACTTTGAGGATTGGAACAGCTTTAGCTGTTTTTACTGAATGTGTTACATAAAGAAGCTAACTTGTTCTTTTTGAAACTCTACAGATGGATTTCGATTCGCAACAAGCGATCGAGATGCCTGTAACATCTGCTATGCCGAAGGAGGTGAGCTCTGACCGACCTCAACTGCAGACGCTACTGATATCTATATGCAACACAATGCCTGTCGGCGTCGATGCTTCTTCTTACCAATTACCTCTGCCAAATGTTTCTTGCAAACTACAGGAGATGGGAACTCTTGTGACCGTTCGTTCGATACCCGATCTTAATATGCCTTTTCAAGAGGACTCCGATGCCGACGTCTTGTACCAAATGAGCTAAGACAAATTCAACTGAAACAAATCGATATTAAGCTTCAATAACTAAGAGGGACAAAGATCGATAACGACAACGACGACGACAACAACAACAAAACCATTTGCTTCTTAATAAGATGTAGTTACTGAATCCTAACCGTCATAGGCTCGAGTTACTTACAACTGTAATTACGTAACCATTTTTCTTAGTTGCATATTCATATATCTTCTTTTTTCCCTTCCCATAGTACGTGAAAAAATCGAGCATAGAATCGTGGAGAGACCCCGAAAACTCGTTAGCTGTTTAGTTATTATATTATTCATTCACAGTCAGTCTGCTTATTCTGTTTGTAGCCAACCCTTACCCTGTAATTACTGCATAATTTCAAACAAAGTTCAGTGTTCCATTTCATTTCTTCATTTCTTCTTAATGTTCGTCACTTGATCATACAGCAATCTTTTAAGTCAAATGGCCCACAAAAGCTTTCAAACTTTCATTTTGAAAGTTAAAAGAAGCATGTTTGGAAGCTAGTAATGGACTTTGGTGATTACAAATGGTATCAGAGCTAGGCATCGAGTGATGTGCCGGTGAGGACGATAGCCACTAAGGAGGGTGGATTGTGAGATTCCACATGAGTTGGAGAAGGGAACAAAGCATTTCTCATAAGAACGTGGAAACCTCTCCCTAACAAACGTGTTTTAAAATCGTGAGACGGATGACGAAAGGTAACAGACTAAAATGGACTATCTACAAGCAGTAGACTTGGGCCGTTACAAAATTACCTAATTTCAAGAATAATCAATCAAAATTAGCCTAACACATCACAAATTATAATTAACTAAGTCGTTACTAATTAAAAGAAGTTTTCTTTTCTTAATTGATACGGTTATTAGTTTATGACTTTATTGCGGAAGAAAATAATTTTTTAAATTATTTTTTAAGCTCGATTTTAACTTTTAACCTTTTTATCGAAAATATATATTTTAACGAGTCTAGCACATAAACGAATTTATTTAGTTGCACTATTTCATTACAGAAGTAGCATGTTTATTTCCCTGAATGTTGAACATCGTATTAGTGATAACGAAGAAGCGACGATGGCTATTACATCCCCTCCCATATTTCACCAACAAACAAAGCACATTGAAATTAGGTTATCATTTACAACATTATATTGAGGTCTAGCCTACCAAAAACATCCTTAAACAACGGTCCAAAACACAAGCAACCAATACTAGGATTTGTTGTTTTCCCACATTTGGGATTCCCACACTCATATAAGCACATGGATGTTTTATTTATTTTTTAAACCGATTGATGTCTGTTGTTCAAAAGTTCACACTATAATATTCAAATTTTTTTACCACTTTGATCGATCGTTCATATTTCATGTCAATTGAAGTTGTTTATGTTAACAAGATCAAAATAAATATTTTAAAAGTTCATAAATATGAACGATAGCTTCAAATATACTTCTAAGAAAAGGGAAGAAAAAAGCAAATTTCTTTTTGAGCATAAAAAATAGCCTTTTTAAAAAGGCATTATATAATTTGGGCCATGGATTGTGATGTTAGTAGACAGTGATCACATGAGAGCTGTGAGATGTCACAAGCAAAAACAACACATTATCTCATTTCTCATCAACAAACATTAATGGCAATGTAGGTTCCACTTAATTATTATTTCCCCTTCAAAAAAAGGCTCAAATTCAATACACTTTTTTCAAGAAAAAGAAACATTAAGCAAAGAAAATGACAGTAAATCTTACAAATCATTCAAAATTTTGTAATAGAAACATGAACAATTTAAGATGAAGCTGATTATGAAAGCTATTAACTTAATCCACCTCCTTAATCATGATTAGCGAGGCAAGAACAAATGCAAGGAATTCGAAGTTTCCATGATAAAGCCCAGATGGAAAAACAAAATTAAAGCATGTTTTTTGAAAATTTCAAGGTCATGGTGTGGCCCATGAACCAATCTAATCCAATTATAAAGTCGAGTTGGGTCTCTCGAGGTTGTGCTCTCTCCACCACAGCCCCACATTCATAGATTTCGAATTCTTTAACCCTTTTCGATAGCTGCTTGAAGGTCGTGAGCCTACCAAATATGAAGAAAAAAGTGTTTTCTTGGTTTCCCTGAAGCTGTTCTTTGTCTGTTCTTGAGGGCAGAGCTAAGAACAGAGAAATCTGGAAGGTGGGTTATGAATAATCTTCATGCTATTTTAATCCCCATGTGGGATTTCTATTTCTTGTTCCTAATGATCGATGCCAGGCCAGAGCTTGCTGGGTTTTCAATTTCTCACATGGTAGCCAAAATGGAAGCTCAATCCCCAGGTTTTTGCTTCTGATTCTGTTCTATTTCTTGTCTTTGTGTTCTTTGTTGCATTTTTGTTTGTTTGTTTCTGGGACATTTTAGATGAGATGTTTATGAGCTTTCAAATTCGAAGTGGGAATAAGAACAAGACAAGAAACATAGAGGCTATAGTGAAGAGGTTTTAGTATCTTGTGTTCTTGCTGGTCCTTAATGTCTGTCTCATTTTAGTGTTTTGTGTTCTTTCTTGGCTTTCTAATCTGTTGGTTTGAGCTGTTTGAGTGTTGTTCTTCAAATTTGGAACTTATTTTGTTAACACACAGGAGTTCCTGAGGTTATTAGAGTAGTTCATCACCAAGATTTGAACAAGAGAATCCTTGTAGCATTGGTTGTTTCTTCCACTCTTCTTGGAGCTATATTGTTGTTCCTTTTGTGTGTTTGGATATATCGTCGAAGAACGTCGAAACTCGATGATGGAGAATGTCGAAAGGATTTGGGTACTTTCCTATCAGTTTGATTCAACTCTTTTGTAGCTTTTTGATTAGTATGCATGTAGTACACCAACTTATGTTGTTTTCTCTCTGTCGATTCGAAGAGGTTTCGAAATCGACGACGATGAACCCCATATCCAGATTTAACTCCTTGAGGTTGGCTAATTTTAAAGGTTCGGTTTCGATGATCGATTATAAACTGTTGGAAGCCGCTACTGATAACTTCAGCAAAAGCAATGTTTTAGACGAGGGTAGTACTGGACATGTTTATAAAGCTCGATTCGATGATAAAATGCTTGCAGCTGTGAAGAGAATCGACTATGGAGGACCGGATGCTGAACGAGAATTTGAGGTTTATCGATCATTTGCTGATTATTTCTTTCCTTGTTCATGTTTGTGATTGAAGAGCTCCAATTGTATTTGGCAGAATGAAGTGAACTGGCTGCGTAAAATACGTCATCAAAACATAATCAAGCTCTTGGGGCACTGCATTCGTGACGAAACACGGTTTCTTGTTTACGAGATGATGCAGAATGGATCTTTGGAGTCTCAATTGCACGGTATGGATTTGCTTTAGGTGTAGAAGGAAAACACGAGAATCTCGAACTCAACTATTACTTCATCTCTTAGGACCTTCTCATGGATCGGCTTTAACGTGGCATCTCCGAATGAAGATCGCGGTCGACATTGCAAGGTAAGTCCACCACCATTCACATAGATCACTTGTCTTTTCTCTGTATCAATAGACATAAGAGTCGTCATTTTGTACGTTGTTAGAGGATTGGAGTATCTTCACGAGCACCGAAGTCCTCCGGTCGTTCACCGTGACTTGAAATCATCGAATATCCTTCTAGATTCGGACTTTAATGCCAAGGTACGAAAACTTCACATAAACCAGCTGAGTTTCCCTGTTTATTACTTCATTAGAACTTTCAGAAGGTTTCTCATTCATTCAGTTCACTTCATCCAGCTCTCTGACTTTGGCCTTACTGTAAACTTGGGAGCTCAAAATAAGAACATAAAGCTCTCCGGAACGCTCGGATATGTTGCCCCCGAGTACCTTTTAGACGGTATGCAAGCTTCTCATAACTTTCTGATCTGCATACGACTTTAGCACCATGACGACACGAAAGTTCGTCGTTCATTTAGAGTAGTACCGACTTTCTGATATGAAAACTATGTCGATGACCATTATTTTCCAGGTAAACTAACAGATAAAAGCGACGTCTATGCTTTCGGAGTCGTTCTTTTAGAGCTTCTGACCGGGAAAAAGCCCGTCGAGACAATGGGACCTACTCAATCCCAATCTCTAGTTTCATGGGTAGCTTATATTTTTCTTTCCCCACCAGTTTTTTGTTATCTTATATCAATTTCAATCAGCATAGTGAACTGTGTTATCAAGCCAAATGCAGGCAATCCCGCAACTTGGCGACCGATCAAAGCTACCGAAAGTTGTTGATCCCGTGATAAGGGACACAATGGATTTGAAGCACTTATACCAAGTTTGTTCATTGCATTGCTCTTGTTCATTCAGTTGATGTTTTTTTTCAATCCATTCTTAGATGGTGCTAAATTCAAACAGGTTGCTGCTGTAGCCGTGTTATGTGTACAATCGGAACCGAGCTATCGACCGTTAGTTACCGACGTTCTGCATTCCCTGATTCCTCTTGTACCTGTAGAGCTTGGAGGCTCACTAAGAATTACCGAACCGCTACATCTGAAAGAGCCTTCGTCGACCCGATCATAGAAAGAATTCAATTCTTTGTTCAATCACATTCTACACTGATTGAAAGGAAAACAGTTGTGTTTGGTGAAATTCTTATTTAACATTGTTTAAATAGTTAATTATAAGATTAGTACCTAAGCTTTCGTTTATTTATTAATTATGTGTAATTCAACTTTTTTTATAAAAAAAATTAATCAAATTGAATTTTGCACCCTATTATTAAATTTTTAATTTTATGTTTAATAAATTGGTGAGTTTTCTAAAGATTATATACTTTTTAAAAAAATTATAAAATTAAAAATCTAAGAACATATCTCGAGAATTAAAATTATTATTATTATTTTTTAATATTATGTGTCCGGTAACAAAAAAGATTGGTCTGTTGAATTTAATGGGCCATTCACTGTTGGGCCGGCCCAATTCATTATCCTCGGTTGAATTTAATGGGCCATTCAGTAGTTGGTCCAGCCCAATTCATAAAATAGTAATGTTTAGTTTGGACATGTTGAAATTAGCAAAATAAATAAATAAGATAACTAAAAAAAATTATTTTGAATTTCTTATAATTCCACCCAAAAAAAAAACAATTTAAAAATTGAAAATAGGTGCAAAATTATGTCCACGTCTCGAGCTACGTAGAGTCAGGCTCAAACTTGACTCTAATTTTCGAACTGGATTTCATCAACCTTATTTTGATATGGTTCATTTATGTACTTTTCCATTACTCGAGAAAGAGTACATGAATGGATATTTTTGGAAGAGAGAGACCGTGTTTGATGGAGAACACGTGGATACGAAAGGGGAGAAAGGGTAAAAGTCATGTGCTAAGGTGAGTATGTATTTGGATAACATGGGGAGGCCATGTGAAGGTATGGCTAAGT